GCGATTGGTTATGATCCTTATCTTTCTTTAAAATGGTCATGGTTTGAATCTCAATACATATCTTTTTAATGAATAAAAAAAAGTAATTGTGAAGACCAAAATGTCCTTCCTACTTTCACTCTCGTTACAGGAAATTTGAAATGGGGCTCCCATTTTTCCCTTCGGTATATTATAATACTAGTTTTTTACCCGGCCCGTTGGCCGAACAATTTCATTTCATCATTTATAGAAATTAATTTATTTATATGTTTAAATTTTTTTTAATCATCTAACTTTTTTATGCTCACACTTCATAAGTGAGTATGCTATATGTTCATATTAAAAATTCTCAATATTTAGCACAGCCACCTATGATGTTTATAGGTTTCGATTCTCCAATGATAAATTATATTTTAAAGATTTATCACGTTACATTTAGAATATATACAAAAGTTTGTCAACCAAGACACTCAAATTTCTAATATTATAAAACATATAACAATTCATGATTCTCGAGTTATGACAAACTCTCAAACAATTATTAAGAGTCCAAATTATTGGATAGAAATACTTGATTATTGGATAAAATGTGTTTATTCCAAGTGAAACTTGACACACGCCATACTCCTTACGATGATCAAATTATCTAATTTTGACTCATTTTTATGTGTTAAATATCTGTTGAGAGTCTTATGTCAAAATTTGTCTATCAAGACACTCAGTGTAAATACAATTTATTAACCAAATCTTTCAAACTTTAAAATTATCAGCCATAACTTTCAAAACACAAAGTATTAGCCAAACGTTAACTCCTCGTTAGTATTTTTGTTAGCAAATTTTAATAGTTATACCTTTCAAAAAAAATTGTATTTTAATTAAGAAAAGATTTAAAAAATTATTAAAAATAAAAGAAAAATGATTAATATTTTGATGTGACACAAAAGATTTAATACAAAAGATTTGGTTAAAATATTGAAAATTCTGAAAGGTATAGCTATTAAATTTTATTTACTAAATTTGTGCCAATTGCTAATTCTTGAAATTTGTAGTAACCTTCAACCCATGGTTGTTGTCTACATGTTAGCTTGTAAGAATCTCAAACCAAGACACTCTCACACACTTTCAAGGGTTCTCGTCTTAACATGATCCTTTAGTGTATAACGTTCCAACTTTTTTAATGTGCATTTGCAAAATTTTCCTTATTTTTGGTGTTACTTCTAGAACAGAAATATGCATTACATATCTTAGTAATAGATAAATCATGTCAACAAATACAATGCACATAGATATAGGTGCATTAAAAACGTCGTATCATTTAAAGAATTAAATTATTATTTTTTTGACAAAGTTGATTTAAAAAAAAACTCATACAAACATTGTGACATTTCACACGGATGAATTCTTGGATGTATTATAGACACATCTATTGTTAATATCTAAACGTATATAAAGAGTTTACTTTGTTTTGTAACTCTAATTAAGACCTTTGAACACACCTCATTCAATGGAATACGCAACAAAATTTTGTGGATATGATAACTCGATCTATATACATATTTCTTACGGTTACAAACTAACATTTTTGTTTTTGACATTTTGATATGGTAAAATCTTTTTTTATTGCCAAAATTTGGTATGGATACTCACAACCATGCAACCAAATGACTTATTAGAATTGCCTTGTTGATCTCATGCTTATAAAGATTCTTCATTTTTAACCTAATAGCTCGGTTTAGAGTCTTCTAACTATAAAGGCCTTTAATGTAGAAGACATTCAACTACTAAACGAAAATTGTCAACCGTGTTTGATTAATGCTAAGTTAGTGGTTGATGAAACATAATGTTTATCGTACATCGTGGGACTGGTTATGGTGCTAATTGTACAAGAGTTAGCACCGTCCTAACCAAGAGTTAGTAGTGATTTACTTAGATGTTGTATTGATTTTATAATAATCCGTAGTGATTTCGTTGTTTTTAGTAGCATTTTTTGCTAGTTATCACGGTTCTAACCCCCCTATAAGGGTTAGCACCTAATCCCATCTCCAGCTCGTACATCGTCAACAAAGATTTCTCCAACACTCACGTGCCATATAATACGTGTACATATCAAGTTTCTATCCAGACCTTTTACTATATAATACTTATTTTATTTTATACATATATTAATTAGAAATAAGAGAAGGGATAACAATGGGGTGGATTTGCCTAAACCATCACCATCCCCATTTTCAAATACCTAAACTCATACTCGCCCTTAACCCATACGGTGGAAGGTTTTACAAACTCATCTCCATACCCGCGGTTTTCAGATACCCATGGTCATGGGTAATACCCGCCCCATCAGCTACTCACCATAAAAAGTATGTAAAAAATATGGGTGCTACCTGCCCAAAATTATGGAACTGATACATAAGTGGATGAAATTACGGTTTGGTTGTCACCAATTACATAAGTGGATGTTATATTTTCTGCATATAACATAATATCCTCGGTGGGGCGGGTTTGGGTATGGGGATGGGGATTTCAAAAGCATATCCGCCCATCTCCATCAAAAAATTTGCGGGTTTTCCCCATACCCAATCAATGCGGAGATTTCCCGTATTGACTGGGTCGAAGACGGTTGGGTACCTGCGACCATGGGTTTGGTTGTCATCTCTAAATAAGAGAGTGTTTAATAGCCAAAAATATAAAATAACATAGTTCATTTTTTAATGTAGATTGATTTTCTAACAGTTATTTTCTCTATTTCCATCGTTATATTTTGTTTAATCGATAAAAATATTATTATTTATGTGTGTGTTTGTTTAAAATTGTCAATAACATATAACTTATTATTTACTTTCAGTAAAAAATAGTAGAAAATTTATTTGATCAAGTTTAATAATATATTTTTTGTTTAACTAAATGTGATATATCACTCTACAAACATTAGTCTTTTTCTACAAACATAGATATAATATGGAAACTAAAAAGAATTATTGAATAAAAGAAAACATCATTAAAAGAAGAGAGAGATAACTTCATAAATAGCTGATTAACTAATTTTTTTGTTTGTACAAAAATTGTCCACCTTGGCAACTTGTGAATTCTCCAAGTGCTTATGTGGCAAGAAGTTGTTTTTGAACAACCATAATATATAGTAAGATAAGATAAGATAAGATAAGATAAGATAAGATAAGATGTGTAGATTTAGTTAGAGTATTGACAATAGTAAAAAAATCTTGGGACCAAGGATTGAACAATTATTGGATTTGTTCCGGATCAAATATCAATTCGACTCATTTATCTTTAATATATATTCGATCCGTTTCAAATATCGGTTTGATCTGATCCGAACCAACGTGTTTGCACATAAGAAACCATTGATGTTATGTAATGTAGATAATACTAGTACACATAGAAATCAATGACCTTTAAAATCATCAACAAAATCAACACGGAGGTATGTACGTAATGTAGGTAATACTAGTACACCAAATTTGGAGGGTCCCGCTTTTTAATTATTCCATGTATTCTTCCGTTGCCTCCATCGGTCGTCCGTCGCCGCCTGCGATTTACATCAAACATCACCGAAACAAAAATTTGTCTCCCCTTGTGTGCTTTTGGTCCACCTTTGTCCATTTCAGTTTCCATAAAGCCTCGGGCATTCATATCGTCCAGAAGATAAGATCAATAGCCCACAGAAAATTAAGTTGTCGTTGTGAAACTATTGAAGCCTCTAGTGCTATTGTGGTAGTTAGTACTATTGGCTCTTATGCAATCCTTCCATCTAATCAACCATTCATTTGTTGCCAAAGGAAATAAAGGAAAAAAGTCATTGTTTGTGTTGGTTTTGATTGTCACATCTCGTTTCGATGTTGCTTCGCGTGGTGTGATATCGTCCACAAGATCAGGGTTGTTATAAAATGAAATAAAGTTGGGTTGCTCTGTTTCCGAGCAACATTTCGCTAGCCCATTGTGCATATCCCTGGTGTTGTTTTTATTTTTACTGGCTTTTGTGACTCGTCGTCCAGATAAAATAGACTCTCGCTCATTGACTCATGTTACGTTAGATATACCATGACAATAGACACAGTACGTTATTGAGGGTGTTCCTAACTGTATACTTGATCATCCAAATGTAAAATCATTAAAATTTACTATCACCTTTCAACGATTTCTCACAACCACAAAAATATCGAACGAACGAAACGTAAGTACAATCAGACCTGCCAAGAATCACTATATACAATATATAAAAATGTGAGAGATAAGGCACCCGTTACACATTAAAATAAAACAGTTGTTTTGTTTGCTAACCCACGTAGAGTAGTGTACTCTTACCTGCATTTCCATTGTTGTAATTCCTTAATTGGATCTTCACTATAATCGGTCTCTAAAGCAAGCGGCGGTGCAACAGCTGAAGTGCTGAACCAACCTCTGCCACGTTTTAATGCGTCAAATTATTATTATTATTATTATTATTATTATTATTATTATTATTATTATATACAAAAAAACCCCATACCAATCCAAAGTAGCAATCGACCCACTAGCAGGCCCACTAACCCATCATATCATAATTACACAATTATCACACAAATTCTAAGTAACCCACCTAATTAACTAGGGTGGCGGTTCGATTTTCAGTTTTAACCAAAATCGAATCGGTTCCATATACTTATCGGTTTCTCGTGACGGGTAAAGATCGACAATCATCCTAACTATTTTGATTTTGGTCAAAATAATAAATCGTCAATAAGTCAATAAAAATCGATAAGTCTCAGTGCATTGAAATGTTCATTTTCAGTTTATTATGATAAAAAAAATGTCTTTTATCTGTAAATCAAAAGCCTTTAAACGTTTAACTGTTTCATTTCGATTTTGAGCAATTGACTAATTCGGATTTCTACAAACCGAACCCATCCAACCAGACACCGTTATAAATTTATAATTAAATTAGCTCATTACCACTAAACCACCCAAAACAATAAACAACAAACAAAAGCAAACCCGCAAAACGAAGAAAACAGAGGAACCACACCACTCAAATCAAAATCTCTCCACCACGCCAAAAACCAAACGAGCAGCGCCCCACTTTTCTCCGATTCCTCCCAAATCCCAGGCGTTCTATCTCCATCTGAATACGGGTAGCGGGCAAAACATTGAATGGCGGCGGCGATTGTGGATGAGAAGTTCTGTTACGGCGAGGAGACGAGCCTGACGGTGAGGAAGACGTCGGTTTTCTTCCCAGGGGATGGGTTCCTGGTTTACGACCCGAACGGGGAGGTTCTGTTTCGGTTCGATTCTTATGGGCCGGAGACCAAAGACGAGCTGGTTCTCATGGACGCTTCCGGCAAGTGCCTCCTCACCCTCCGGCGCAAGGTTAGTAATAAGACGAAAACAGAGTGTGGTTTAATGTTTGTCTCTTTGCCTCGGGCTCTCTGTTTTTTGGCCTTAGAAATTTCACCCACTTTTCTCCCCTGTTTTTCCTTGACTATTAAGTTGGTTGAGAGGTAGTTGAATGATAACCATGAAAACAAAACAAACAAAAAAAAAAGATAGTTGAATGTGTTTTTGGTAATTAATTAATTTATCATTAACTTCATAATCCAAGATTTGAATCGATGTTGCGGTGGATGTTATCATTTGTGTACATGTTACAACGAATGAGAGCATACAAAAAAGTATAACGAGCTCGTTGATTTAGTGAAGCATCATTCATAAACAAATGTTATTGTGTATGCATGTAATGTTTTTAAATGAGTTATGAGATATTTGACTTACGATACGTCTAAAGTACACGTTCGATTATATGTTTGATATGCGCACGTTGGTCATTTGTAAATGATACATAAAATTTTGTAAGTATTAATAGATGATCTGTAAATCCTACTGTAAATTTGTAGGATTTAAAAACGGTTTGTTCAAAAAATTTAAACTCATATCCTAGTCTTTTTCAAATTATAATGGTATACTATATGCATATGAAATTCAAGATGCGATATAAACACGTCACTTGAATTAACATGGTTGTATATCTTTGAGATGTTAGACCAGAAGTTTCCAAAAAAAATCCAATTTGGTAACTAATATTAGCCATACTAGACTTCGGACACCAATTTTTTTTCTTAATCTCACTTTGGCCTAATCCAAAAAAATTCCAATTTGTCATTACATGTTCATGGTTTTTTTTATTATAAGTAACTAGGTAGACCCGCTCGCGTTGCTTCGCGATGAACGAACAATGTGAAACAATGATAGGAAGAAAAGGAAAAAAAGAACAGGCTGCAAAATGGATTGAAGATGATAAAAGAAACATTAGAGGCTCTTACCCAACCAAATCGTAACCCATTGTTTGGACTGAATTGCAGCACCTGAAGTAAACACCTTATTATTTGGCCGACTACAATTTCGGCTAGTGGACAGTATCTCGGGATTTATGAGTTAGAATGATGCGAAAAACATCCTAATTGACATAATATATTGATATTCAATTAAGATAGCTATCGTCAACAACTCCCTTGACAATCACCTTTTACACGGCTCGAACAACACTGGATACAGCAATATATAGAAACCAAGAATTCTAAAAAGAAAGTGAAAATGGATGAGCGGGGATCAGGCATAGATTGAACTTCAGCTGGTGATAATTAAACTACCTAGAAAGCAATTACAGAATTTAGTTAGGAATCCATCCCAAAAAATCAGTCAAATGAACCTATCAAAAATCATATGTATGGCATCCATAGACATAAATGGATAGTAGAGGGTAAGTTCCATGTATTAGGGATAAATCTTTATTCATATTGACGTAAGTTTCCTTCTCCTACATGAACCTGTACAATTGTGGGTATAAATGCCCCTTCTCAATGTCAATACAAACACACGATTCACATTCTTACAGCTTTAATCCCGAAACCCTAGCTCTTCGTTGCAATCTAGAATTTCGGCGCCCACGATCAGCGTCGAGTCGCCTGCTGTCCAACATGTCCGACAACAGTTCGGTCACGTCAATACAAACACACAATTCATATTCCTTACACCATGGAGCCAACAGCTGGGCGCAAAAACAACCTATTGAAACACTATAGCAATTCAACTTACAGAATCAGTAGGAGTAACTATCATGAACCTGTGTTTATATATAAGGCAACATCTTACTAATCAAAAAGAAATTGATTAAAGGTTAAAGAAGAATTTATGAACTACACGACACAGGAAGTTCGGTTTCTTCATCCCATGGCAACATATGTTCATCGATTGAAAGAGACTGTGGATTGAGGAGAAAATTGACATGAAAGACGGCTGCTTTAGTTTAATGAACTTTATTTGTATCCTCCTCTGTGATTCCATAATACCAATAAAACTTCTATTTCTATTCAATTAAAGAATGCTAAGAAACTGAGTCCATTTCAGCCTAGAAATCTCACCAATTTAAATGTTGCAGAATAAGATGCTTACAGTTCAGCCTATAAGTCCTCAAATGCATACCTGCAAACCCAGGCATAAAAGCAAGCAATCTGATTTGTAATAAAGCTCTGACCTGACATTGTAAGCAAGAAAAGAGTTTTAGATATAAAGAGCCACGAATAGATGTAAACCTGGAGTTCATCAGTGTTCACTGAGCAGCTTAAGAAAGCATAATCAACCTCACCGAACCTCAAACAGAATGAAAATGGCAGTGCACTGTATGGGTCGAGCAAATAAAACAAAAAAAAGAACATATAAATTATTTTTAATGGGAAATAGCAATTATTATGAACGTGTAAACTTAGAGTTAATGAGAATAGTGCCAAGTCTAGCCATGGCATCCTGATAAGCTGATTTTTATCACCATCTCTCTAAGGTTACAAATTCAACACACAACAAAATGGCAGCATGCTGATTGCTGATACACCATGTTCATTCCTTGTCATATCTTGAAATGCCTTTTGCCAATCACTTTTTTCATTATTGGTCTTAGTGGCAAAAATAAACCACACAAAGAAAAGGGCAACACAACCAAAACCGAATGCTAATTTAACATGTAGATACTGCATTACTGGCAACACTTGTATCAGTACTTACATTCAGTAGGTAGCTCCAATAGTCTCCACTTCATTGAGATATGAGGAATGTGATGTTAAATGAAGAAGAATAAGTGATACAGCTGTCAAGTAGAGTAGTCTAGTTAGTGTAGTCATATAAGGGGGGAACAACCCCTAAAGGGACATAATTACCAACAAAGGGGACAAATCTGCAATGTAAAGGCAACTGCACACAAAATGGAGATCACGACATTATGTGTGATGGTTCAATTTTGTTCAGTCCTACCTTCTCAAGAACACTTAGAAAGCAAGCAACATATTATTGCACATCAACATTCATAAAATCATTGCCAAAAAAAAAACATTCATAAACCGTAAAAATACTCAGATTCATGAAAATAGTAGGATCTAAGGTAGAGCAAAATAAAGATTACTTCTGTCATAGCAAAAACTGCAAAATTCACAGGGAACAGTGGCTAACCTGGACCTACTTCAAAAGCACATATATGCTTTCTTGAGTTGCTGCTCCCAATCAACTGTCCTCTCCAGAAGTTATAGTACAGGTACTCCAGTTTTTGGTTAATCCAAAGGCAAGCATTACCTGCACATCTATGCACCACATACATTTAATAGATAACCAAAACTACCATTTTGATCTCAATACTCAATAAGAAAAAGAACACAGACCTTGAAATCCCATGAAGAGGTCACCCGCGAGGGAAATGACATACATTTTTTATGGAGTTAGACTCAAAGGACAGTTAGAATAGGGGAAGTCCCCTAATTATGTGTCCACACTATTATTAATCAACCTGCCATCTGTGAAGGACCTCTACCGAGTTCTCCACACTCGGAAATCAAACGAAAGGGAAAAATAAAGCTTAAATGGGTCGATCATGGACGTCAATGCAGATATAGAACCCAAAATAACAAAACTTCTCACAGTAAATCTGGAAGATTGAGAAAGAGAGTCCTAAAATAGAAGTTCCTCCACCGAATGAATCTTTGACAACAACAAAACTAATTAGATCAAAGTGAAACGGAGGGAAAAACTTCAAATGATGTTTCTGGTTCGCTTGCCCGCTCTGACGACTCTAAAGTTCAGATCGATTGTCAACTCTAAAACACCGAATCGCTATCCGAAATAGCAAACAAAAGCGATGAATCAGAAAGATAAAACAGGACAGATTACCAGGGGGAGAAGGGGAAAAAAAGATAAGGAAAAGACATATAAAATTACCTTCGCCTATGCCTAGCCACTGTCTCAAGAGGATAGGATTACGACGATGTTGCGGACAGTGTCTTACCTCCCCAAATCCCCATCAGCGAATTCGATTATAAAATCTCCAAGACCAGACGTGCTCTTCTGAAATAGGAAAAGAGGGCATGATCACATTCAAGGAAAATCGGAAAAACAATAACCTAAAAATGAAAATCCAAAACATCGAACCTGCTTCTTCCCCAACCCGAGCACATTCAAGTAGTTCCAAGTAAAAGAAAATGCTAAAGCTTTAATATAACGAAAAGAAATCAACAAAACTAATTGAACACTTCACAGTTCCCCAATGTTAAGTACTTAGCTGTCACTCAATCTGGAAAGGAAATCTAATATGACTGTTCTAATTGAACTCATAAAATCACACGAACTCGCCTTTTACATCAGTCTCCATTCAGAAATCACTGATAAAAGACACTTAAATAAAAATTAGTGCACGGGGGAGCAACTAAAAATTCCTTATTTTCTAGATAGCATTACAAAATTGAATTCATATCAATAATAGGAGATGGTGAAGCTAACCTAACTTACCATTTAAAAGGAAGGAATAGTTAAGATGATCGAGAACATAAACAGGTTATTATATACAAAACCTAGATTCGTGGAAGGGGGCAATACCCGTCAAAGGAAACCCCAAGAAAGACTAAATGAATCACAAAAGAAAGGCAAAATATGGGAAACATAAAGAGAGGAGAAGGTATGGCTAAAACACACCCAGAGTCATAGTGGCTATATGTTAGGAATGGCCATTAGCATGGTATATGAACAATTTGTTGATTTGATTGCTGATCGTGTCTTCCGAATTCTCCACAACATGCAGCTTCCAACACACTATTAGAGCTGATGAAAGTTTGTACCATGACTATTCTAGCCGGGAACAGACCCCTTTGGTACTCTTTTTTGATGAATCAATTTGAAGTATAACCCTTAATCATGCAAGAGGCCAAGAAAACAAATCAATTATGTTCTACTTCCCTGGAAAGAACAACGACGTTTGGAATTCTCAAACCAAACAAAGCTAGTATTATTAACCCTGCCAAAAAAATGCACTTGAGAAATAGAGACATGCTATCATCATT